CATGGCGGCTATGATATTTAGAGTGGCAGATGCATTTTAGGATGGCGAGGCTCGTCGATAGCCTAGCTGGCGGGCCGCCAGGCTATAAGTGCTCTTGGAGAACCCTGGACCCGTGTCATTTTTGATCCGGTCAGTCTCGGATCGTTTTCGACCGGGGACAATTGCTCCGTGTGAACGCGGCTAATCAGAACAGGCACAGGTAAAGGAAAAAACATGGATCAGATAAGGGCCTGAAGCATTTAGAGATCGAGGTAGTAGTTAATGAGTTATAAGGGTGGGGGAAGGTAAGGCAGATAATAAGTGTATCAGTTTAAATAGGTGAGATGGTGTTTGTTAAAGGGTTAGGTAAAATTTATGTGAAAAAGGTTCATCACGCATCTGCTCCTCGTCCACTCCTTTCACATTTTCTCCTCAATATCGTGCACTTTCATCCCCCTACTTATAATTAACCCATTTCTTGTGTTAATTCTTCTTCCTAGTCTCCTTCCTTTGCCTTCTTCTTATTAATATTATTAACCTTTTCCGCCTGCCCCTTCATTATTAATATTTTTTATTTTGCCATCATCTACGAGTACTTTTAATTCTGCTCCTTATTCAGGCAATCAGTCTTTTTCTAGCTTGCTTATTCTTCTATTAGTATTACTAATAGAAGTGGTGGTTCGTGGAAGAAGAGGCTATTAATTACTATTACTATTAGTATTAATATTACTTCTCCGTCTTGTTCTCTTTCTTCTCTTCTATTTCATCAACTTCTTCTCCTCTCCACCCTCTCCCTCATCCTCTTCTTCCACGAACCACCACTTCCCCTTCCTCTCATTAACCACCCCTCGTATAACCTCCATACCGGACATCCATATTAGCTCCGCGACTGATAAGACATGCTGCTGTTTCAACACGCCCGCAATAATGCAATGGAGTGTTCCCTTGCTCGTCACACGCGTTTACGTTGGCTCCGGCTTGGCAAAGTGCCTCGATAGCGGGCACGCATCCTCGTATCACGGCCCAGTGCATCGGTGTTCTTCCATTCTCGTCAATTTCGCTCGGATTTGCACCATTCTCTAACACCTTCTGAACGCTATTACCCTCAAAACTACTCTCACTGCGCAATAAATTGTGCAATGAACACACAGAATTTGACATGTTTACACCGTTCGACGCCATGTTGGAGTGGCATGAACTTTGCCCGTTGATCATGCGCAGTAGCGCAATGTCATAAATGTACCGACATCGCATTCTATCGTATCGTAATCGTTGAGATCACGTTGAGATCAGTGTCATAGTCTCATAGATTGATACATATCACCATATCACATGTGATATCTCACGATATACACAATATATCTATATTCTATGTATCTATATTCTATATCTATGATTGTATTACATTACTTTCAACACGTGCGCCCTCTTCAAATGATCCCTTAATTAGCTTCGTTGTCTCTGTCATTCCGTCTCATTTCCGTCTCTCAATTTCTCTTTAGTTAGTTGCAAAATTGAGGCTTTTTCTACTGCGATCCGCAGTATTGATCGTCTATTTAATAAACTTTTTCTCTTTCCGTCTTCGATAAAGACCCTTGAACTTTGAAGACTAATATTTACGCAGTTATAAATAATATCGTTTCTCGGATATCTATGTCCACATATACACACTAGATAAGGCTATCGCATTAATTGTTGGCTCCTCCCTGACAGCGGTCTTGTAGCGCGCTATATTATTTGATTTTTGATTTATTATGGTGCCAATTCTAGGCCGTAGCTAGTGTGGACACAAGAAAGGCAGTTGCCCCCACGCAGAGAAACATTTCAGAGAGATTATAATTATAATATATTACGGCGCCACACTGGAGGGATCGCACACAATCGCAGGTTTGCACGCGGCCCGTATTCACGCGGCGGCGTATTGACGTGGGCCGGCGCGCCCACTGCGGTTCAAATGTTGAAACGTTTACCGATAATATATTATAAAACCTTTGAAGATCTGATAAAAAGGTTGATAGAACGTTGAAAAGTTTATCAAGTCGTCGATAGTGTAAATACTAAATAAGTAAAACAGATAATCGAGAATCGCGAAACAGAATAAGAGCGAGAATCGCACACAATCGCAGTCAGGATAAACAGCGCAGTACGTGTCACGTACGTATGGCCTTGCGTGCATGTGCACGGTCACGTACATGACCACGCGTATGTGTATGTACCGCTGATCTCTATAATAAAACCATATATTATTTTATTATAGAGATTAGTGGTATGTACACGCTCGTGTGCGTGTTTGTGTGCGCATGCATACGTTTGTGTGAACGAGCACGCATGTTCGGTTATTATGATTAGTCATTGTCGCCTATTAGTCATAGTCATGCATTGCCTAATAGTCATTGTCGTCATTTATAGCTTCTGTGCGCATCGCCGTTCAGTTCGTTTATCATGCATATGTTCAATCACGATTTGGTCCACGATTATGAACACAATCGCAGGGAACGCGCCTGCAATTTTTGCGCCCCTGTGGGGGGCAAGGGGGCAGCTGCACCACTAGATTTTAAAGCAAAATTTAAAAAAAAGCTGATAGCTAATAATCGTAAATAACCCTAACGTGATTTTTTTGGTCACTTGTCCGTGAAAGCCTTGTGTCAGACCCACCCCTACCACACTATAGAGACGTCGATCAAGAGCTGCGCCCGTCGTTCATCATCATTATACAGTTGAATCATGAAATTTTGCCCCCTAGGAATTTGCTCAGCCTACGGCCTTGCATGTAGCTGCTCTCGAAACAAATAACATGGACGTGTGGTTTATAGGCCTACTACGCGCACACGACTGCACTGCATGAACACGCAAGTTTCATAATCAGTGCAAGGATAGCAACGAGAATGAAGCCGTAGTAGGCCTACTGTAGCGACCAAAATTCTACTTAAATTATATTCCATTGAAATATATATATTGAAATATATATTGAAATATAAAATTATATTTTATTCAAATATGCCATTAAGAATATATGTCACTATAACAATGGCGACGCATGCTATAGTATCCACGCGGAACTATTGAGTAAGTCCATTGACTCACGCAGTGGATATTTGATGACGGCCTGAGGAAATATTAGTATTCCATTAGTCACGTAGTGAATTCTTGATGGCGGGCCGAAATTACCTGCCGTCACGTAAGAGAGCACCGGGCATATAATTTAATTAGATGTAGTGATCTCTGAGGACGAGAGTAATACACACCTGTTAGAGACATTCTGCTAAGGACAAAGGGAAGATGGAGACGCATGCGCGAGGTATAAGAGCAGGAGGATGATGAATTGGTTAACGCGCCCACGTCGAGGCGGAATCCACGAGCTAACCCACGCGCTGGTGTGAGTTAACCCACGTTTCACCTATTTTATTTGTTTAGAAAAAATCCTCCGGTGTTATCTTATCAGGAGTGTATCAATATAGGAGTATCTTCCGGAGTGTATCTTATCAGGAGTACTTATACTGTATCTTATCAGGAGTGTATATTGATACACTCCTGATCTTATCAATAAAGGTACAACATGCATGTCCTCTTACTTTCGGTCTTCGCCTTTGGTTATTTCGCCTTTGGTTATCTTCACCCTTGACTAATTAATTAATCTACTTCCTTGTTTAGTACTCTACCCTTAATTTTCCTTCACGCTTGTGCGTACAGTCATGCCTAGTACAGTGTACATAGATAAAATCAGGGGTTAATTTTGTCATTATTATTGTAATGCGAAGGGCGATCAGACTTCGGGTTCTCGTAGGGCGACAGCGTAGAATGTAGATGCGAGTGCGTAGAGCACAATGTACACGTACACACAATACTACATTATTAACCCACAATAAAATGTCATCGTGAAAAAAGCCGGTACCTGCTAAATCGGGGTTATATATATACGTGGCTGTCTGTATAAGAGCAAAAAAAAGGGGTGCAACGACTCATCGCGTTATATCCGAATTCGCGTTAAAACCGGCGCGCGTAAAATCGGGGTTCCACTGTATTACATGCAGTATAATATATAGGCCCTCTGCGTATAGCGCGTATAGCATATAGCGCGGTAGAAGTAGGTAATTATATATATATATATATATGCACCTATAGAGAGGACCCGAAACGTGCATTACACAGAATAATAATGTAGTACAAATATCTATCGCTATAAAGTTCATTGATCATCTTTTGTTCAAATTCTTTAGTCTTCGTTTACAAATTTTCTTTCATACTGGTTGATTATCTTTATGTTGAAGCATTCACAGTTGTATGCACTAGCCCTCTCCACTCCTGTCTGTTGTCTACAACATTCCTCCACTGATCAAGGACATATTACCACACCTTAGAGCACCTTTGCAGGTATCCTTAATTATATCTCAATTTAGGGCAACCAACAGATCGGGAATTATATACGTACATTAATTACCATGAAGCAGGGTTAAAAATTAACTTTTTTGCCAGAGAAAAAAACAAGCAGAAAATTTACTCACCCATCTTAGGTATTATTAAAAACCGTGTGTAATTGTTATTATTATATAGGCGTTTATCATTAAAGAGCACGCGGCATATTCGCTCTGATATGATCTCACGTACGGTCTTTGAACGGTCACGCGGTCACGTACGTAGCGAATATAATATTTGTAATATTTAACGCTTTGGTCAAATCTAAACATTTATTTAAACTTTACAATTTTAAATTTGAATACAGATTGACTTAGCTAATAAATGTGTGCGCATAGTGTCTTACTCTTAGTAATAAATAACATATTGAACGTGAACGAATACCACTGACTGGACAGAACTGCACCAGCTGCACAGAGTGATGACTGTACAACACGTCACGCAGAACAAATAAAATGGCGGTGCCCGGTGGAAAGGTACGTCTCTTCTCCTTCACCTTCTTCCTCAATATTAAACGAGAATTGTTTTATTTAATAAACACAACTGATTCTGTAAGTCTGCTAATGAAATAGTTAGTAGTAAATTGTTACTATTACAATATTTTAACTAGTGGTGTTGATATTCTATGTGCAATAGATGAAACACTAGTACTGAGCACTCGGCTCACTCATTCACTGACAGAGGTGAATACAAGGTTAGTCCGTAAACAACTTGGTTTACTCAGTCATAGTTATATGCCTTACTGTGTTAGAATTAGTAAAGTGCTATGTTTGTATGATTAGCCTCCTCTTCGGAGAAAGTTGAGCGATGTTGGCTCCTTCAAAGAACTCTCAAAGAGGGATGCAATCGCTTCCCTTGCCATGGAAATTCGCAAGCTGATGGCTACTGTTCAAGCTGGCATGGAAACTGTAAGTCCAAAGTCCAGAATGATTCCGTCACGCATTTCAAAGTTGCAACGTGATTTCAATCGGAGGGATAGTGTAATAGATATGTGATACAAACCTGAAATCGATAATATCAACAAATTAAAATATGAAATGTCATAGACATCATCATGATCAGCCTCAGGTAAGAGTCGTTGATTAGTTTGTGTTAATCACATAATTACATAACATGTAACTTGTAATGTATATATACATACATTAAATTATATATATATAAACTAGGGGGGTCCGGGGGGCGTGTATTTTTACCGTACGACTAATTAATGCGTAAAATCGCTACCACACCATAGACGGTATTTGGGGTTCTTGTATATATAAGATAGCCGAGTCGGTGTACAGTTAGTGACAGGTTAACTGTGCATTGTCAGGTTAACTTGTGTACTGTCTGCAGTGCATGCGTGGTACGGTAAAAATACACGCGTCGGATGTCCTGGTTGAACGGCAATTCTTGACGATCGATTCCCGCGCTGGCAAACTTTTATTGTGGTGGAATTTAAACGGGGCGGAGGTAATTTAATTTAGACAGGGCGCAACGATTCAAACAGGGGGGAGTTTTCCCAAACGGGGCCCGCGCGCCCCGTTTGCGCAACGTAGGGAGAACCCTGATATATATAATTAAATTGGTATTAGAATTACCCTGCACAAAGGCTTAATTGCATAATATGTAAATTGATACTAAAACTGTATTTTCAAAATAGGAATTCAGAGACAACTTTGACGGATTCAGTAGACTGTTTTCCCGATGGATCCTGAGTAGTGGACCTGCCTTGGAATGGAGCAGCATTAAACCCTTACCTGGTAGTGCAGTGAGTATCTATCTTGATAATATTAGCCCATCACTTATACTCCCTAAAATTAAATATACATTACCTCAGTGTTTTATAGCTACAGGGAATTTGGCCAAACCAGCAAGTGTATATATATTACATGATATTTAATTGTTTGTATTTTTAAATTTTGTACTTCTGCAGGTGAAGAACTATGATGAATTGGTGAAGCCAATTGATGACCAGTTGGCACAAAACATCCTGAGCAAGCTAGTAGTTGTGAAATTGAATGGTGGTCTTGGAACCTCCATGGGCTGCACTGGTCCAAAAAGTTTGATCTCAGTCCGAAATGACTTGACTTTTCTTGACCTGAACGTACAGCAGATTGAGGTACAGTCAAATAATGTTTATGTTCTGTTATAGTTCTAATAGAGGGGTACCCATATCCCCCATTGTTTCCATTATTCTTACCAGTTAGTATCTCAGTGAGTAGCTGAACTCTTAGCTAAATGGTTTCAGTATATATATACATTCACTTTGTAAACTTAGCAGTACTTAACTACTCCTCTCACAAGTACTGTCAGTCTAGAAATTAATACGTGCTTACCCTCTCTCTATGTAACAGAATAAACTAGCTATCTCTTGTGAGTGTCTTGAATTGCTTGTTAGATTTCATCTTCATGTCTCGTATGTTTTAAAACATGTCTTAATGACTAAGTGAGTGTCTCCTTGGCTGCAGTAGTGGGGCAGATAACATGCACATGTATATTAGGAGAATTGTTCAAATGGTCATAAAATTTTAAGCACCAAAATTGGCACATATACCCATGGGGTGCCTATTCATAAAAAAACGTAAGCCATGCGAAAATTCAAGATGGCTGCCATTTCTGGTATGATATTTCATAAATTTTCACTACAGAGTCTGAATGTCAAGTACAACGTCGATGTTCCACTTGTGCTCATGAACTCATTCAACACGGATGAAGATTCGGCCAAAGCCCTGAGGAAATATGCTGGATTCAGAGTGAACATTCACAGCTTCAACCAAAGCCGGTACGCAAATTATATGAATCCTGGTTTCATCGTCAACAACTCCGCTGTCATGTCTGCAATAACAACCACAGTATATCATTGTTAGAAATTTTTGACAATGTGTTTGGTTGTTTTAATTTTGTTTGTGTACGAATTTATAGCCCAGGCTGCTATCTTTATCTACATGTAGATGTTTGATTCGTCTTGTTTTTCGTAATTTATTTTAGAATTCTAATGCTAGCTGCAGTGTTAATTTGCTATGATTGATACAATTATATACTGTAGATCTGATATAACGTGGCTCGATATAATGCGGAATTGCTTATAATGAACTCAAGAGTTTTGACTACATTTCCAGGTAAATGACAAATTTTCCAGTGCAATTTCAGTATCAAACACAATATTTTACTAATCAAGAATTTTTCAGAGTCATCAAATTCCAGGACATTTCCATTCCCATGCGGGCCGTGTTTATTGCATCAATATATGTCAACTTGTGCGTACTCACTTATAACTTGGCCCAAAACTTGGTACCCAGTTCTCCAAGTTATAATTAGGTCTACAGTGTACGTCTACTTATTCTTGTGCGCTCGTTGGAGAAATAGAGCCTATATGTATCTGATATTGTCTTGAAATTTTATGTGAAGGTATCCACGAATCAACAAGGAGACCTTGATGCCGATGACAACATCGTGTACCGGTGACGCAGATGACTCGTAAGATTTTACATAGATGTAGCAATTATTGCACCAGTTATGAGAGTGTTCAAACATACTTAAACTAGGGGTGTGACAGTGCTGGAGGGATCTGAACTACTAGGGTGTAATGTACTTAGTGGTTTGGGCATGGTTAGAGATGTGGGTGTGATCAAGGGGGTGGGAAGCGCCAGGGGTGTGGGGGCAGTGAGGTGTGTGGGTATGGTTGGGAGTATGGTTATGGCAAAGGGTGTGGGTGGGGCCAGAGCTGTAAGTGTTGCAACTATAAATTAGGCGCGTCATTAAAGGAATTATTTCTTGAATAAATGCACAATCGAGAAAAATATAGCGTAAGATAGTCTCGCCTAACAGCGAACATGTTTACTGATACCAAACAATACCAGTAAGTATTGTAATGGTCTGATAAAATATGAGAACGGTCGGGAAGATTTTGAAATAATTACTTTAACATTAAACATAGTCATTAAATGCGCTCATATTTATGGCAAAAACATGATAACGATTGGCAGTTACATCAGTTATTTCTAGAAACTAGATTGTGGGCATTCAGGGGTAGAAATTAACTTTTGAATACGAGGAGTCCAACGGACTCCCTGCCCTCAAAAAGAGGGAGTCCGCAGCAAAATGATGGAGTCCGCAGTCTGCTTATTTTGAAGATTCATGCGATTGCACGTCTGCCAAATTTTATTTGGACATTTGCTGAAAAAATATGGTCATTCCGCAAGGCCGTGCTCTGGAATGAACTAGTTAGTATAGCAGAATTTTCAGGGAGGCACACGGACTCCTGCATATGTCAAATCAGGGTGTGCGACAGTAAATCAGGGAGTATCTTACTCCGGACTCGCGTTAATTTCGCACCCTGAGCATTTTGTTAACTTACAACAGTTGTTCTGCCGTTTGCGTCATTTTAGCTGGTATCCCCCTGGTCACGGTGACTTCTACGAATCTTTCGTACTGTCAGGACTTCTTGACCAATTCATAGAACAGGGAAAAACCTACTGCTTTGTCTCTAACATCGACAACTTGGGAGCAACAGTGGACCTGAGTATCCTTATTTAATGTCGTCTAGTCTTTGTCTCTGAACGTACATCACATAACTCACTCACATTTCGATGCAATTTCATGCGTTATTCACGTTATTACTTGTTTACTTTATTTTGTAAGCAAAGGTTGACATTCTAGCTGTTTGTTCCAGACTTTGTGCCGCTAGGTCGTTTGTGAAAACAATATAAATGTAGAACTATTTGATGTAAACTGATATATGTTTGGTATTATACTGCTGATGGAAATGTGGTGTAAAATGACCCATAATGAATTGACATATAGTGAAGTGACACTGCAATAACCATCTGTATTGCTCTTCTTGTGATTTAGTTTCACTAGCTTGCCAGCAGGTAGTAGCAGGTATGCCCCTCAATGTTTCTGTAGAAATGAACTGCAAATAGCTATGTTTTTTGTGCCTTAATTACTTGATGAACAGATATCCTGAATTTGTTGGTTGGTAATGAGCAGCAGGAGTCACCAGAATACGTGATGGAGGTCACAGACAAGACTAGGGCTGACGTTAAGGTATCAAGTGTATTCATAATTTAAAATCCATGAACCCTCATCTGTAATGCAATGCAGCAGTAAGATTAGAATTGGTAGTGAAATCTTTACGTTCATGAACATGAAATTGTAAAGATTGTCTTGACAGTGAAAGTATTCACTGATTTCAAAAAATGTGTTGTATAACAGCTTCAAAGATTGTCATTCATAGGGTGTAATGGGGTAAAATGTGTTACCTTGCTAGCTTATGAATTGTATCAGAGGCTGGTAGACTGGGAGCCATTGCCAAAGGTGTTTTATATATAATAGATATATATATATATAATATATATTATATACATGACATATATAGTACTAATATAACCTAAAGAAAGGGTAAATGAATAATACTAACTTTTTGTGACAACAGCCCCTAAGAGTAGCGTCATGCCGTGTGACACGTGCTGCTGTGTTGAGTCGCTATCATCGGTTGTCTTGTCATTTTGTCGTTAACACTTCCCTGTATTACGTGTCTTCACAGGGTGGTACGCTATGCTGGTATGAGGATAAACTCAAACTGCTGGAGATAGCTCAAGTACCGAAAGAACATGTGAGTGAATGCGACTATCTCTTCTTATGTAGAGTACTATCAATTTTTTTTTTTCAAAGTATAGATCATGAAAATACCGATATATGATTTTGTTCACTCTTGCTTCAGTTATACCTATGTTAGCTATTATGGTCGATCTTACCAACACTCGCAACTCCATGCATTTTCCATATTTTCATTCATGGAAAGCTTATTTATTATTACTATTATTTTCTTCCCATTTCGTTACCAGGTTGACGAATTCAAGAGCGTGAATAAATTCAAGTAAGTGCATATCTGTTGGTAAAATGCATTCGATTCTACTATGTTCCTATGCAATTAATTTATTTAAGTCTCAGTTTTAATAAAATAAGTACTAAATCAACAACAAAACAATTGCAATTGCATTACTATGAGTGTAGCTGTAACGTCATTAGTAGACATGTGGCTACAAGTTTACAAGTTATTTAAATGTACCAATATTTTGACAATTTTCAAGGCGCCAATATATAGTTTCATGTCCTGAAATCTTGCTCTTGTAGAATTTTCAACACAAACAACTTGTGGATTAACTTGGAGGCGATATCGAGGAACGTAAAGGCAAAGACACTGCAGATGGAGATTATCGTCAACCACAAGGTAAGCACCGGTAACAGCTGAGTAATTAAATGAATGTTGTTTTGGTGGCGGTGCACTTTATTGCAGCAGCTGCTATGACAACTGCTGTGATGTCAATTATGACATCCACTATGGCAACTGTCGTGATATATGCTGTGATGTCTAGTGTGATAGTCACTGTGACATAATCTCTGAGTCATTGTGATAGTCACTGTGACATAATCTATGAGTCACTGCGATATCCGTTGTGATAGTCACTGTGACATAATATATGAGTCACTGTGGTATCCATTGTGAAAAATGCCATGCTGATCATGGTTAGTCTCATTGTGACTTCTGCTGTGACAGCCACTGTGGCACTAAATGTGACACCCACGGTGATACCTATAGTATGACATCAGTTGCATAGCTGAAAATAGGGCAAGTCCGAGGTCCGGGACCTGCCGATTTCACGCTCAGACCTTCGCAATTTCCAAGCAGAAAGTCCGTCGAACCTATCAGTAATTTACAGTACTGTCCACTTTCATAAAATAAAACATCATTAAACCATTGCAAATTGCGAAGAAATAAAGCGAAAGTAGGTCAATTTTTGGTCACTGTCCAGGGGTCGAAATTAGCAATATCCCGATATCCGCGGGATAGTAGATTCTTGTGTTGGATACCAGATTTCAATGCTTGGTATCCCGCCGGGATAGTAAAAAAAAATCATCAAAATCGGGATAGTGGTTGTTGAGTTATCAACTTTATACGGGCAGCGCATCTGAGCGAGTGCGCGCGATCTGAGCGGGCTCAGGCACCCTTACGCCACACTAGCGTTATACAGCAGGCATAGCATATTTGCAAGATATAAGCTGCGTTCACACGAGGATTTCAGTACCGTACTTGAGCGTTCACACGGTAAAAATATACGCGGCTTATTCAGTACCGTACTGAAATACGAGGCTTACTCGGCGCGGAAAGTGATTCCGCGCTGAAACATTCGGCACCAAGCTGGCCGCGTATTGTCTTCCGTGTGAACGCAATTTAGAATTGCGAAACTGTAGTGCGCTTACCTAGACTGGTACCTGTTCGCTACATGGGTACCAGTCTATATTATACCTAGCCAGCTAAGCCTCGATTCTCGTGTGAACGCTCCGGGCTGTGTTAGCATGGTATTTCAGCCGAATTCAGCACCAGATAAGTACGGAACCAGCGAGGCCATGTATCTCGTGTGAACGCAGCTATTGTTGCAAGAAGCCAATGTTGATCATAAATTTATGTTATGTGTATACATTGTATCAAGCGAACCAGACAATGCGTCTAGACAATGCGTCTGCAGTGTATGTAAAATGAACGTGAGCGATGAGAATTTTTAAGGCAAGCAATTGTTGAAATTACTATCAAAAAAATGGTATACCAGATCTTTGGGGAGGATACCAGATTTCAATACCTGGTATCCCGAATGGATACCATAATAAAAATCTAATTTCGACGCCTGCTGTCGACATCTAGTATCATATTTAATATTCACAATGAAACATACCAAGTATAAGAGTCAAATTTACCGAAAATCTGATCGAAATTACACGTACTGATACTGATAGTGTATACTGCAACGTTGGTAGCATGGTTGTTTATAACGGAAGTTAACACGGATGCGCGCACAGTTTCAGCATCAACTCGTCACTCGTGCGAGTAACTCGGAATGACTGCAGACGACGCATGTACTGTATCAAATGAGGGCAAACGAGTTTGTTTATGTTTGGTTTTGTATAAAAAATGGACCTGCTGTTACCAAACGATTATTAGCCAAACAAATGTAATATATATTCGGACCTTTCAAATCTTTCATCGGACCTTCCAAAAATATTGCTAAAAAGTCCCGGACTTGCAGGCAAAAACCACTATTTTCAGCCCCTGCATTGTGACATCTGCAGTGACATATGCTGTGACAGTTGCTATGATATTGGCATGTTTACTTGCAGACGCTTGACAATGGTGTAAACGTCATTCAGCTGGAGACTGCTGCTGGTACAGCCATTAAGAACTTTGAGGGTTCCATTGGTAAGTGGCTCCATCTATTGGGTCTTGGTGTTTATTCATTTCACAATATAGGAACCTGGGATCACATGCAAGCATTTTGACATCGTTTAAGGCTAGAGAGAGGATAATAAACTACAACACGGTGGCAGCCATTATCGATGGTTCATTTCCATTAATATAAAAAAAAATTGTCTATTAAAAAAAATATGTCAAATAAATCTTCGATAAACGAAATGTGGCAGTATTCTAGAGCCGACGTCTGATCGGCGTGGTAGAATACGCGTACGTCACCATGACAACGCCGCTATGCGTCTGCCCTCGCAGGCGTGAACGTGCCGAGGAGCCGCTTCCTGCCCGTGAAGAAGACGTCCGACCTGCTGATCGTCATGAGCAACCTGTACAAAATGCACAACGGCACGCTGAAGATGAGCCCGGACCGCGCGTTCCCCTCCGTGCCCCTCGTCAAGCTCGGCGACAACCACTTTGCCAAGGTTCGTCTCGCGCTCAGCGTACTCACGAAGGAACCTCATGTATAGATTGAAATAGTGCAGGATAGTGAGGGGGAGCCACCAGGTCATGCACAGGTGTCTGTTGGATAGGCTGTTGGATTTGTATATATTAACTGGCCTCATCCCGCGCCACGCCGCGCGTATTCACGAAGGAACCTCATGTATAGATTGAAATAGGGGGAGCCACCATTCTATGCACAGGCGTCTGCAGGATAGTGAGGGGGAGCCACCAGGTCATGCACAGGTGTCCATGGGATAGGCCACTGATCTCTATATATACTAACTGGCCTCGTCTCGCGCTGCGCCGTGCGTATTCACGAAGGAACCTCATGTATAGATTGCAAAAATGAAGGGGGGCACTAGGTCAGTGCTTCTTAAACTCGTGAATGGTTCACCCAAGGGTGAATGCAATTATTTTGGGGTGAATGAAACATAGATGAAAATTACCAAAGACGTAAGGAAATTTAGTTGCGAGTTATTGAAATTTTGTGATAGGGTTAGGGTTAGGTTGAGACTCGAAGGTGAATGACAATGAAATAGTTTAAGAAGCACTGCACTAGGTTATGCACAGGTGTCTACAACTGATCTCTATATACTAACTGGATAGCGGTTAGCCAATCCAGAGTTGGTGAGGAAGTGATGCCACCGAGCCACAGGCCGTCATCTTGCAACCACCAGCACCTTCTCAAAAGCTGAGCTCTACCAGTATGTGCCCCGTAACATTTCAAATGGATAATGGCAAACTGCAGCTTATTTTATCTTTCTCATTTGCATGAAAACAAACTTTAATAAATACACGACATAATTTATATATATTTATATATATATATATATATATATTCAAATATATTTGTATGCAAATGAGAATGATAAAATAAGCTGTATTTCATCATTATCAATACATATCTGCATGCATGCATGCAGGCAGGCAGCTCGATAGCTGATAGCTATGTTGTACATATTATTATGTGTGATGCTCCGATGGTTTGTGTTCTTTATTCAGGTGCGCGAGTTCCTGGGTCGATTTGCCAGCGTTCCAGACATGATTGAGCTCGATCACCTGACAGTTTCTGGCGACGTGACCTTCGGCAAGGGCGTAGCCCTCAAGGTAGACACACTCCTCTCTTATACGATTGTCTGCTAGTTCTTTTAGTTATATTATTAAGAGTTCTTTGGTTTAGTTAATTTTTAGCTCATCTGACGTAGTCAGATGCAGCTTGTAGAATCGCATGATTGTGCGTGCGTGCGTGTGTCCGTCCGTCAACAGTTGGGCACAAATCTTAACCGCTCGACGTACGGTGACGATATTTGGGACGTGGGGGGAGGGATCGTGAAAAGGACTCGGGATGACCAATTTGGGGTTCAAAGCTCAAGATATGTCAACGGAGGGGGAATATTTCCTCCTTAACTTAAGGTATAGGAGGAAATACGGAATTGCGGCACAAATCTGAACGGCCCGACCTATGCTCTTAATATACGGTGTATAGTGTGATGGGCAGGAAACCTGTCCACCAGTGCGAAATTGGAGGTCACAGGTCAAAGGGTAGTGGGGGAAAGGTCGGATATCAGACATTTTCTGAGGACATGGCCTAACGGACAGAGTGAAAAACTTTTTTGTTTCAGCACTGACCTATCATTTTTATCACTTTATTGAAAGGACCATGAAATGTGCTTTCCACTGACATGCGAAGAGTAAGTGTCTGATCAACTTTTGACCCTCAAGAGGAGGGTTAAACATGGATTTGTTGACTGCTAACAAAGGACTGAACTGCTTTTGCTATTATTAGAGCCCATACCTGTGGGGATGTGAGGCTACATTTGCAGTTCAATTGCAAAGACAAAAGTTTGTTGAACACTCCTTAAATTATATTATTTTCTAAAGCAGTCTGTATATTAATAGCACCCTGAATGCTCGCATGGCTACCGTCATCCGAAATGTAGGCAAAAACCCGGGGGCAACCCATTTCTCATGCATGGGGGTGAACTGGCACTTTTCGAATAAACATGCACACCTGCAATGCAGATGTGTTAAATTTATTACTCACAGCTGAGCGAAATTGTCGCCTGCCTGAATATACTTGGATTTTAGCCTGTAAATTTCAGCAACTCAATGGAATTAGGTTATCTCTACTTTCTTGACTTATCACCAATGCACGAAGGGCGATGCCATCTTTGATTATTGATTACACTTGTACGCGCCATCTCGCGGCAACTATAGGCCTAGTGATACATTATGACACGAATATATAAGACAGCCGAGTAGGTATGAAGTAGGATGCATTGTTAGGGTTTAGTTTTAGTGTTAATACCAGTGCTACACAGTTTTGATGATGATGTAGCCGGTTTAGCGATAGAACAGGCTTTCAACCTTTTGCAGAAACGAAGGCCAGTACAGTAGAGCAGCAGACCTCAGATGAGCACTGTCGCTAATGCGGCACTTGTTTTTGTTATTAAGGCATTGTCTATCCTAAGCATTTTCAATCCCTCTTTGGGAATCTTCCTGCATCTTGATGTGCATAATTTTGTGATGTCACAAGAAGTGCATTTTGTTTGATTGCTACCATTCTGGAAAGTGTCATGTACTTGGCTTCATATGTTAACAGCATTGTTAGGCATAGCAACGAGCTGTATGTTTGATTGCATGGTTACTATAGAAATACAACGTATTTTTCATTATAGGGAACTGTCATCATCATCGCTAACCACGGAGACCGTATCGATATACCTCCAGGTGCTATACTGGAGAACAAGATTGTATCGGGCAACCTTAGAATCATGGACCACTGATCAGGGCTTCCAATTGATGATCGCTCAGCCCATGGTCGTTGTTATGTTGTAAGACAGTCAGTATAGTTTAAATGCGTCGGCATTTGTTGGAAAAAAATATAACAACCAATAGGCGTCGTTTTAATCCAATAAACCAAGTCGGGGTTTTCAATCATGCGAGTTTTGCCTTCGGGCAAAATATCACTGCCAGTATTTGTTGTGTTGTGTATTTTGCCTGCGAATGTGTGATGAGTAACAGGGGAGGTCTAGTCTGTCTTGGGTTTGTTCTTAATCGAACTAATTCAGTATATTATAATTCATTTACATTTAGTTAACGTAGATGTGCGTAGGTGGATTCACGTAGGGCAAGGTCTCACTTCCTACCTCCCTTAACCCTGCTGACTTAAGTCTTGTGTTACTGTGTTTCCACTAAGTGCATGATGCATTTATATTGGAATTGGCAGCAATATCAGATTTTAACCGGATTTTATGATAATACTAAATAGGTAATTCCATTAAGAGCTTTTGTTTCAGTTTTTTGTTTAGCCAACGGTTAAACCGTATTCACTGTATCAACTGTAGGTACAGAATAGTCACATGCGTGGATACTTTGTAGGAAATTTTGCTTTAGGCACTGTGCCACACGAGATGGGGGGCGGGGGTAGATATACTTATGGACTCAGTTCATGAGATATCTGATATGTTTTGAAAGCAGAAGGCATCAATAGCAGTGAGATCACTATGGAATGCTCAAAGGGAGGTTGTTTAAAGAATGATATGTAATGTCGCAAAATGAGGTTGTTCCTTTTAGCCTTTACAGAGCTGGTCACACGAGGCAAGTGCAGCAGTGTTTAATTTTAAACGGAATCTGAAAATTATTTTAAATCCTAATGCTATTGTGCATTTCGTTGTGGTGTGGGCATAAAGGTATTCAGATATGAAACATGATTGGTAGTGCCACACTTATTTTTAGCTCATCTGACATAGTCGGATGCAGCTTGTAGAATCGCATGAGCGTGCGTCCGTCCGGCCGTGCGTCCGTCAACAGTTGGGCACAAATCTAAACGGCTCGACGTACGGATTCGAAAGTCGGGACGTGGGGGGGTAATCCGAAAACGAGTTGGGATGTCGAAGCTGAGGGTCAAAGGTCAAAGGTCAAGAGGTGGGGGGAACATTCCCTCCTTAACTAAAGGTATAGGGAGGAAATGCAGAATTGCGGCACAAATGACATGGTCTGACGGAGCGATTGAAAAACTATTTTGTTTCAGCGGTGACCTACCATTTTTATTGCTTTATTGAAAGGACCATGAAATGTACTTTCTGCTGACATGTGAAGAGTAAGTGTCGGATAACCTTTTGACCCTCAAGAGGAGGGTTAAACATGGATTTGTTGACTGTTAACAAAGGACTGAACTGCTTTTGCTATTGTGGATGTGAGGCTACAGTTGCACAGTTCAATTGCAAAGGCAAATGTTTGTTGAACAAGGTTTACGCTCCTTAAATCATATTATTTTCTAAAGCAGTCTGTATTAGCACCCTGAGTAGCACCCTGTATTAGCACACTGTAATGAACTCTGAGTGCTCGCATGGGTAGGCAAACACATGGGGGGAGCCCATTGCGCATGCATGGGGGTAAACTGGCACTATTCTAATCATAATTATTGCCTGGCAACCTGCAATGCAGATGTGTTAACTCACAGCTGAGCAAAATTCTCGCCTGCCTGAATATACTTGGATTGCAGCAACTCAATGGAGTGAGGTTATCACGCACGAAGGGTGATGCCATCTTTGATTATTGATGACACTTGCACGCGCCATCTCGCGGCAACTGCTTTTGCTATTAGAGCCCCCTTCCCCTACTCTCCCCCCACCACCACCACCACTACGCTTGCGCTCGACGCATATCCATGATAACATGTTAATATAGCGAAATCACACATCTGTATCTTTATTACTGTACCACCGGTATAGCAAAGCCTAGCTATCATAGATTTTAGATCTGTATTAGTAGTATCCTAGATATATGATCTGAGCGCGAACGCGGTGACGGGAGGTTGCTCTTCATTCGTTAACCAATGAGTTTAGCATCAGAACACCTGCCGGCAGGTGAGCGCTGTTGCTCTGCGGCACTTGTTATGCCTCTTGCCAAAAAAAAAATTTTTATTGCCAGACTTTTGGCCTAGTTTCCTGCAACATGCCCTACAGTACTGATGGATTCTAATCCTCGAAAAGATCCACATATCGTCCTTTCATATCGCATTATGCATACACCATGCTACTGTCCTTCAAAAAATTAGCATTTGGAATGTCTTTTTAAATGTTACTTTCAGACGTTAAACTTAAAAGCTGCCGGTGTCAGGGCAGGCAGGGCGTAATTTTTGTCATTGTGCAATTATTCTTAAACTTAAATGCAAAAAAACGAGTGTAGCTCGAGGGAGCTCGGTTCTCCAATCTCCCCCTACCTTTTTCCTGTATGTATGCTCATTGGAGTAAGCTTGAAGTTCATGGTTAAAAACGACATGGCCGAACAGTCGGGACGTGTGATGGCCCTCTAATGTGGCTGCGAGGGTCTATGTCCCCCAGGGTACTGCCGGAACGTACCCTGGGTACGGGCCGGTATACCGGAACATTCCCTGGTACTATCTAATATGCCGGACCGTACCTCGCCTACTTCACTAACGAGTCTAGGGAGCTGCCTACGCCTACTCCCTAACCATATCAGATAGTTACCAGGGTACGTTCCGGCAGTACCCTGGGGGACATAGACCCTATGAGCCCTAATGTGCAATGGTGTATGTTTGACAACATCGCCTGCTATGCTTACGTGCATGGTTTTTTCGTACACGAAGTTTCGAGTGAGAGTTGATTTGAATGTTCTCATTTAGATACGAAACGAATCTACTGTAGGTATTATGAATGCATTGAAGTGGCACTATCGGTGATATTTAGACTAAAGTTCATCTGTGAACAACTCTGTTGTTAACTCGTTGGTGTGTGCGTGCACGAACGCCCCTTGCGAGTGTTTTTTTCTTGTTAAATACCATAGTTGTTAGGCTTGGTAGTAAGAATTGCAATCATGCAGCCATAATTGTTGTATTGCTTGCCATAGGTGTGGTTGATCATGAGCACGTGAGAATTAGAATCAACACGGAACATTAAAACAGTATCAATTTCAATGTGTTGTTCGTTTCTTCTTAAGTAAAATCAGTATCGGTGCTGCACATTTCTGATAATCCTACCCCATACCTGCATAACCATGTGCCAATTCCAACAAACCTTGTACCTATACATGCACAGTATTGCCCTCTTGTCTCTGTTAGTCCTGTTCCCATACCTGCACAGCCATGTGCTTGTACCTGCACACATACATTAACAACCCTGCACACATACCTGCCCAGGCCTTCGCCCATACCTGCCCCCACACAACCCTACCCTCATACCTGACCCGCCCGCGATTTTTTTCCCCACACGTTATATCCATTGGGCTCCTCTGATTGGCTGTTTTGATTTGACCACACCATAGATAGTGTTTGGGATACCATAGAGAGTATATAAGTCGATTCGATTTATAGTTAGTGTTAGGGTTCGGGTTCGGGTTAGGAGTTTTGCATCATTCCTTGATATACGGAAAGTCTGATGCGGAAGTTGATATGCGTATATCAAGCCCAATGGATATAACGTGTAGGAAAAAAAGTTCGCGACCCGCCCTGCCTTCATACATACACACCCCAGCTTCCATGCCTGCCCAACCTTGTACACCTATTTACACAACCTCCCCTCTCCGCGCTGTACGAGCACAGCTGTCACTATACCTGCATACAATACATGAATTAAAATGTAACAATGCGTGTTTCACTATATGTTGTTATGATGTCCGCCCACATTCTTGTTATGATGGCAATAACGACACTGGTAATAACAAAGATCAGTTTTGTTAAAAGATCGATGATAGTCAAAATCGAGAAACAAAGTAAAAAATAACGAATCAAGTACTTTCCGTTTTACCATGCACATTTGCTGTGTTATTATATATTACATGTATAATAAATGCACATTCATTAGGGAGGCAACACTTATTTACAGCTCTGTTAACAACAGTAGATACAAGATATAAATATATACGCGCACACACATCACATGGCATATGACAAATGATGAATATATGTCTAGGAAATCTCTCATCCACCCTGCGTTCCGCGTCGTAAATGTGTTACTTTCCAAGAAAAAAATCCCCTGAAGGCATTAGTGGAAATATATTATGGATAGCCTTGTACACTTTCTCCTGTGAAACTGAAACGCTGCCCCCTGCCGTTTTTACAAAGATTGATAGGAACTAGACTGGGAATAAGCACACTCTGTGGATCACGTAGGAGGTGTGATTATGTAATGTAATATGTTGGACACAACGGGCAGGGCTGCTAAGTAAGGCTGGGAAAAGTGTACATGGTACACGAATATACGGGGCTGGAAGATGGGCCGGGGATGAATTGGCTAAAAGTCTGGTGGAGGAAATGGGAGAGAGGTGTGAACAATGTTAATACAAATTGGTCGTGTGGAAAATTTTGGGATAGGTGAGATGTGGACAAGGGCGCAACCACGTGTTGAAAGTTAGGGGGGGGGTCCCAACATGCAAGCAGCCAATAGCAACGTGATCTGCGGGCGAGCGAATATCACGTATTGGTTCAATATCACGTATTTCAGCGTGTTGATGGAAGTGTTGCATAATTGTGATGTCATGAATGACATTACTAGGATCATGTATACATAAAATACCAAAATGTTTTATTAATTAGATTAAGCTAGTAGTGAAGCTACACACAGACTGTGCTAACTGTGTGACACAGTTAGCATGATTAAGAGGAAGAGGAAAATAATAATGCAAAAAAATGGCTGACACGTGAAAACAGAGAACAGTGTTAGAAACCAAATGTGCCCTTCCTTGAGTCACACTTTCCAACAAAATCCTTTGCAATTGCTTCAATATCGATTCCATCTGTCTTGATGAACGTGCAAAACAGCAAGGTGGTTGAGCCTTGCCTGGGCCATTGAGCTTCGAAGATAAGTCTTCAGCCGACGCAGACCAGAAAAGCTTCTCTCTGCTTCTGCACTGCTACAGGGAATAGTAAGCAGGAGCCGCAGGAATGTGTCCACTTGATTAAACAGCTTTAGCAGCGATTAGCAGAACGGTGACGCGCCGCCACGCGCCGCTTGTGTGGAGATGGGCCTTTAGTGTCTATAATACAACGCAGCGTAGCTATATAGACACAGTAGGCTTGCGAATGCGTGGTGAATTGCTCGTTCAATGCACGTGAGATTGCATGTACTATGTAGGTCGAATCTAAATGATATTAAGGGTTCTATTTAGATATCTGAATCTGAATCACAGTTATCACACTGCACTTGACCACCTGGGGTTTTTATTTATTTTAACTTTCACCTGTGAAATATGGATGTTTCTCGATAATAAACGCTTATCGGACAATTTTGGACCTCCCCAGAAAACAAGGTATTCCAGAAGTTGGGGAGGTCCTTCAAAAAAGTAGAGGGTCATGATTCCCCCCCCCCCGACGCCCCCAGTGGTTGCGCCCGTGGATGTGGACAGTGTTGGGATAGGTTGAGTGTGTGGACAATGTTGGGATATGGTGAGTGGTGTGGTACATGTGTTGGGATAGGTGAGTGGTGTGGACAATGTTGGGATAGGTGAGTGGTGTGGACAGTGTTGGGATAGGGTGAGTGGTGTGGACAATGTTGGGATAGGTGAGTGTGTGGACAGTGTTGGATAGGTGAGTGGTGTGGACAATGGTTGGGAATAGTGAGTGTTGTGGACAAATGTTGGCATGAGTAGGTGAGTGGTGTGGACAATGTTGGGATATGGGGTGAGTGGTGTGGAAAACAATGTTGGGATAGGTGAGTGGTGTGGACAGTGTTGGGATAGGTGAGTGGGTGTGGACAATCGTTGGGATAGGTTGGAGTGGTGTGGACAATGTTGGGATAGTTTTTGGTGGCTGTGACAGCTGGTCTGGGATACCGTGAGTGAGTGTGGACAGTGTTGGGATAGGTGAGTGGTGTGAACAGTGTTGGGATAGGTGAGTGGTGTGGACAATGTTGAGATAGGTGAGTGATGTGGACAATGTTGGCGAATAAAGGTGAGATGGTGTGGGACAATGTGGGATTAGGTGAGTGGTGTGAACAGTGTTGGATAGGTGCAGTCGGTGTGGACAATGGTTTGAGATAGGTGTGTGGATGTGGACAAGTAGTTGGGAATAGGTGAGTGGTCGTGGACCAGTTATAGTGGTTGGGACAATTGAAGGTGAGTGGTGTGTGAGCACAACGGTGGTGGGGATACTGTTAGGTTGAAAGAACTGGGGGTTGGACAAGTTGGGGAGTTATTGGTGAGTGAGTGTGGAGGGTGTTGGGAGCATGGTGAGTGGCTGTGGGACAATGTTGGGATACCCGCGTGAGGTGTGTGGATGCAATAGTTGGACGGATCAAGGGTGAGTGTGTGTGTGTGGACTAATAGCTTGGGATAGGTGAGTGGTCGTTAGGACAATTGTCTGTGGAATAGGTGAGTGGTGTTGGACAATGCTTTGGAAGGAGGTCGGTGATGTGTGTGGAGCAGAAATGTTGAGATAAGTGAGGTGGTGTGGACAATGTTGGACATGGTGAGGGATGTGGAGCATGTAGCTGTGTTTGATTCAAGGTGAGGAAATGGTGTGGATCAGTGATTGGGATTAGTGAGTGTTGTGGACCAATGTTGGGATAAGGGCGATCCTGCTTGAGTGGTGGTGGACAATGTTGGGAGCATGCGTGAGTGGTAGTGTAACAGTGTGTTGCGTGATATGGTGAGTGTTGTGACGGGGATGTTGGGCACTACGTGATTTGTAAGAAACGCAGTTTGTTGGGAGCAGGTGAGATGTGGAACGTGTTGGGTAGGTTGGAGTGGTTGACAGTGTTGGCTCTAGGTGAAGTGGTGTGGACAAGGTTGGGTGTATCAATTGGGTAGACGTGTGCTGGGAAATGTTTGGGGGGGGGGATAGGTGAGTGGGTGTGGACCAGTGTTGGTATGATAGGTGAGCTCGGTGTGGACAGTGGTGGGATATGGTGAGTGGGTGTGGACATGTGGGGACTAGGTGAGTGGTGTGGACAACTGTTGGGATAGCGGTTTACCGGGGATAAGTGTTCAATTCGGTTGTGTATGGATTCAGTGTTCACGTGATGGTGAGCTGGTTGTGGACAGTGTTGGGATAGGTGAGTGGTGTGGAACAGTGTTGGGGATAGGTGAGTGTGTGGACAAGTGTTGGGATAGGTGAGTGGTGTGAACAGTGTTGGGACAGGTGAGATGTGGACAGTGTTGGGATAGGTGAGTGGTGTGGACAGTGTTGGGATAGGTGAGTGGTGTGGACAATGTGGGGATTAGGTGAAGTGCGTGTGGAGCAACATGGTGGGATTACGGTGAGTGTGTGGACAGTGTTGGGATAGGTGAGTGGTGTGGACAGTGGTTGGATAGGTGAGTGTGTGGAACAAGGGGTGGGGATATGTGAGTGTGTGGTCACAATGTTGGGCATTAGGTGAGTGGTGTGGAACTCAGATGTTGGGATATGGTGAAGTGGTGTTGGACAATGTTGGGATGGGACCCCGGGTGCGTGGTGTGGCAATGTTGGAAGTATAGGTGAGTGGTGTGACAATGTTGGGAAGTGTGAGTGGTGTGGACAGTGTTGGGATAAGGGTGAGTGGTGTGAACAATGTGTTGGGATAAGGTGAGTGTGGTGGACAGCTGTTGGGATATGGTTTGCTAAGTGGTGTGGACATATGTTTGTGGAATACGCGTTGAGTGTGTGGACAATGTTGAGTATAGGGTGAGGTGGTGTTGGACGAAGTGGTTGGTGATCGGTCATGTGTGGACGAATGTTGAGTTAGGTGAGGTGGTGTGAGACAATGTTGGGATACATCTTGGTGAGTGGTGTGGACATGATTGCCTGGAGATAGGTGGAGTGGACTGTGGAACAACAGTGTTGGGATAGGTGAGTGGTGTGGACGAATGTTGGGATAGGTGGAGTGGGGGATGGACCAGTGTTGGGTTTCCAGTAGGTGAGGGTGGTGTTTGGTCAAAATGTTTTGAAAGTATGCGGTGAGCTGGTGTGGACAACACTGTTGTGGAATACTGGGTGGAAAAGTTGGTGTTGGAACATCTACATCATGTTGGGATAGGTGAGTGGTGTTGGACAGTTGTTTGGGGATAGGTGAGTGCGTTTGGTGGACACTTAATGACTGGGGATAAAGGTATAGTGGTGTGGACAGTTGTTGGGTATAGCGGTGAGTGGTGTGGTTACATAGTGTTGAAGGATAAAATTAAGGTATCGAGTGGTGTGGACAATGTTGGGATAGGTGAGTGGTGTGGACAATGTTGGGATAGGTGAGTGGTGTGGACAATGTTGGGATAGGTGAGTGGTGTGGACAATGTGGGGACAGCTGAATGGTGTGGACAAGGCTAGGAAAATGGCTTACCGAGCAGGTTTTGAAGGATTCCGGGTGAGTCGGGGACAAACCGTAGGTACGGCTTTACACTAACGCGTGCTTTGCACTTGCTTCTCCATCAACAACTATTCTGTTGACTGCAGATGAGTATCACAGTCTCGCTCCCTCTGCTACACAGTGCGCAGAGCGATCGATTCACCTTCAACACAGCATGAAGGTCAAATGAAGGCACCACGCCATGACGAAATGCCACAAAAGCGAAGTTTTGCCGTCAATTTCTCACGGTTCCACTATATTCACGGTAGTTTCATTGCAGCTATAGTTTCAGAGTCTCAAGCACCACGCGCACACACGGGCATAAGAAGCCATAGAGCACACTAGCAAAGAACTATGCCAGTGTACCCACTGGGTCTGGGAATGACGCACAGAAACAGAGAGTTGAGTGTGTGTGGCTTCTGTGGCCATCTCGCGTGATACATGCAGATATTTGCATTGCCTACATCAAGGTTGCATTTTATCGCCAACGGATCTTATCTATGATCTGTATGGCAGGTAGTAAATGATGATGCCACCTACTAGTGATACACGCAGACCACTACTCGCCCTCAGCCCGAGGGAATGCATTACCATTCAGGAACATATAGTGACAAGTTCAGAGAGCACCGCTCTCAGCAGATGTACATTTCCCCGTCAACAGCTCACGTGACGGGCACGTGGCAAGTACTAGTGGCATTCGCACCAGAAATTTCTGCAAATTATATGTTTGGCCACAATTATCACTGCTCCAATAACAGATCAGACAACGTGGCAGACACTGACACTTGCGTGTGATATGTGTGTTAGGTCGAGCCTCGATTTTGTACTATGGTTTGCACTGATGGCATCAAGAAAGGTTTCTGATTGGGTACAATTAGAAGACGGGACAACATTCTGCTTGCCCGTAGATGACTAATCAAGGAGAATGGTTGCTGCAGATAGCAGCAGTGTCCTTCATTTGCTTGGCTCCACTTCCAGCAACTGTATGCAATCCGCATCTGGGTGTAATAATGGAATAATTCGGACAGCAAACGTTCAGTTCTGCACGCAAACACGATCATTTCTTCATCTGATAACTGTTTTATTGAAAGTTATATGGTGGCACCGTTCTTGTGTGCAAGGAAAGCAGCCATTTTGAGTGAACTGCAGTAGCATGCCCATGCAGGTTTCATCGACTTGGCCATACTTCGACCATTCTGTCATCAAAATTTCTCAAGGACGAAAGACTTTTCATCTGGCCCACGTAGAATGTAAGATCCGATGTTACAAGCCTGTAAACGTAGAGAGAGAATAAGTAGGGCCTACTCGGAATGTTAACTCTATCTTGATATTTAAAATTGACTTAACAACCATTTTTCTCTACATATCACCAATTTATTCAATTCTTCCTCTATCCCACAAATACCCATGTAAAATCTTTCATTTTTTAAATGCAGTTATAAGTTACGTTGAATTTGAACTTGAATTGCAATACCCATAAAGCATGCTAGTTGATGACAGAGGATCAAGCTTCTAGAACACATCTAGTGAAGTAGACGACACTTACGCATGCTGTGGTCCCCCGTTATTTAGTATACACAGCTTAGATAGCTTCTGTCGGAACTTCAACTTAAACGATTCGTTTATCTTGAGGAACAGCGCCTGGAAACAAACGTAAGAAGATAAACAATTAACAACTAGAGTGCTGTCTTCGCTGCAAGAGCGAACACTGTATTTGGCAATACATCTACTACTGTAGTAGCTCCAAGAAACGGTCTTGCTAGGGTTAGAAGACAATCGGTCGCACAGCCTGGTCATGCTACTACTGTAGCAGTCCTGGAACTTAATCTTAACTATTAGTCTATAAGTAGTTTATATATTCTGTTGCAAATTCAGCGTACGAACGCGGATCCGGGCCACTGTTGTTTCTAGCAAAATTATATAGTTGTTTCTAGTTTTCGGCAAAAATACCAGATTTTCACCGCTCATTATCTCAGAGTAGGGGCATCGTAGGGACATGCGGTTTGTTTTTATATTAACAAGGTAGGACAGCTAATCAATAAAACGGGGAAAGTTTATTAATTCGATTAATACTGCAACATGGTTTCAGCTTTTCACCGTTATACGCTCTCCTTCTTAATACGCTCTTGATAATATGGAGCAATATATTTGCATTTTAAGTAAGGTAAGTTTTAATACGGCACGTGTATGAGAGGCAGGGGGAGCGAGCGGTGGCGGTCAGAGAGCAACGCAGTTATGGTTCCTAGTAGCAGGCGAACAACAACGTCGCTTTTTCTATCCGTAATTAGCCCTGTATGTGACCAGATAAACACGTTGTAATATGCCCGTGCACAGGCTCACCGCCCCCTCTGCTAGTAGCAGGCGATGGTTATGGATCGATAGGTGGCAGCACTGTCCAGTCACACTGTCCAGGCTGAAATCTGCAACAATGCACAGGCATTGTTTCAGTTATCCTTTATTACAATGCACAATACACTTCCTTTAATTTTAATGCTGCCTCCTGCAAAATTACAGACCGGTAGGTCATATAGTTAAGGAAGAGATGCATGGCAAAGGCAGTCGTGGAAAAATAAAAAGAATATTAATAATAATAAGAAGAAGAATTCGTGGAATAACAATGTATCTGGCAAAACATTGCCAAATACAATTAAAATAATTGAGATGGTACTGGAAGAAAAGTAGAGCAAATAGTAAATATAAACCAACTGAAAATCTTACAGGATTACGGGAAATACATACCTCGATCAGCATAATGAACACAACGCAGTACACATAAATTAGCTCCATAAATATAATTAATCAATATAATTATTTCAATCTGCAAATATGCTGAGTTTCAATTGATGTGGGTGCAATAAATCGTTGCTTATCTGCAATTATACGACTGCACTATAAAGTGTTAAGCCACATGCACAAGATATGCAAATATTTAAAAGCACGATGTCAATTCTACACTGTTAACTATTCTGCACACGCAAATAGCACATGCAAATATTCACAAACAAACAGCGTGTATCATCGAGCTTTGTGCCAGATCTCTGATGGAAATAACAATGTGCTGTACCACAGCCGATGCCATCATGGTGTCGTGGTTGCTGGTAGAACGAACGACGACAGCAGCAAACAGTCGAGCAAGCAGTGATGGTGGCAGGCATCACTGTGACCAGGAGAATGCAGCACGAACTCACATTTATTTGTTCGGCTGGCAGTAGATCTATGATAGCTTCGTGCAGCTTGCCCATTTGCTTGCCGATGGCTCGCATGCCAGATGATGGCATAGGTGGCTTTGCCTCCCACTGTTATTAATATAAACAAATTTATTTGCACGCTCCCACGTGGCCACGGGAAATCTATACATCTCTGCATCTTATGGATTCATGTGTTTAGCAGTGCTAGTAGGTAAAGGTATTGATTATCGTGGATGCATACACAAATAGTTTTTACTTTGCAATGACTTAATGTCCAATAAAAACCACAATTATCACCACCAGAAAATGACAATGGCAATTATGATTAGTAGTAGTAGTATTATTATTATCATTATAAAAACAGCAACATTACCTTGGCCAATTGGGAATCTATCATCGTATCCATGATGGCCAGCAGTTTGTTTGCAATTTCATCGATATGGTCATTATAGTCCTTTGAACAAATTAAAACCAGTCACACATTGAATATATACAATATATATATACATGCTTTGCAGGCAGCAACTTTTGTATCTGTAATTTCGACACGACATCTTGGCAATGTCTGTAATTTCTAAATGCTGACGTAATTTGATATCGAAATAACATCCATCTATTTACCACCACCACCACACACACGGCTTACACGGCTTACATCCAACCACCTTAACCCATTAAATCCAACTACCTCTGTATACATAATCTATTCAACCATCTTAAATGACTAAATCCATATATTTCTATCATTTGCATATAACTATCGCTCAATGGGTCGTTGTCGTATCAGGTACTACAGATATGTACCCGAGGTACATATATGTATACACAAAGTGTACCAGACTTGTACTACAGAAGTGTACCCTAACCCTAACACTAACCCTAACCCTAACCCTAAACATACCTCATATAACAAGAGCCGCACAGCGTCTGGGCTCATCTGGGGTCTGTTGCTACGGTTATGAACGTACAATTTCAGTCGTGCGAAGTGACACATTTGTTAGGCGCAGATATGCAGATACGCAGTTGCGTACACATCATTGTTAGGACACGCTCACTATCTCTTTCCTCTATCTAAAAAGATGTCAACAGATAGCATTCGGACTCCAATAAGTTAGAGGGGCGATTCCTTCTCTCCCACGCTCCCCCCCGCACTGCGTCCCACCTCCTCCCCCTGCTCCCACTTACCTCCTCTGCCTCTCACTCGCCCCCCTACCGTCCCCATCTCCCCCCCTGCCGTCACCTCCTCCCCCTGCTCCCACCTCCATCCCCTTGCCACAACATTCTCCCACAACTAAGTACCCCGTCCCCGCTCGCATACCAACACCGTATCACCGTTTCTCTGTCCCCGTCCCATTCTACCCTCTCCTTACTTAGACTTCCCTCCTTCTCCAAATTCATTAAAAAAATAAACACCCAGCGAATGAGCCTTTCTAACGGCCCCTCAATAAGCTCTTCCGTATGCCCCTGATGTAACAGCATAGAAATCCATCAATATAAGCGTCCAATATTTTACCGGTAACAGCTATGTCGCACAACTGGAAATGGATCTGCACCGGGGCTCATAGTACAGACTATATGTTAAGATTCAAAGAAAAGAAAATATTATAATATAGTACTAACGTATATATCTCTTAACAAAGTTACAGAAAACAAATCTAATTTAAACCGGCCTATAGTTGCCGCGAAGATGGCGCCCTCAAAGTTCACACAAAACCAAAGATCCAACCGGTCCTGAAACCTACATAGGACAGCTAAAACCAAGTAATATATCAGGCCAAAGCGATAACTGCTCCCAGCGGTGCGTTAACAGTCATTCGCAGTCGGCCAGCCATAAACCAACAGATAAACGCTCCAGCCATGCGCCTGTGGTTCCTCAGCGAGCATCACGATTCATTCATTCAGCCTTCAGCGCCCAGGGGCAAACGTGCTATCAGACAGACTGCTTAGAAAATCATAATGATTAAGGAGCGTAAAACCTTTGTTCAAGCAAACATTTGCCTTTTGCAATACCCTGTGCAGCTAGTAGCCGCCACGCGAGAGAAACAGCGTAGGCCTAAATAAAAGCAAAAGTCAGAGCAGCAGTCTATGGCTAAGGCAACAACCAAAGTAACCCTCCCTGCAAGGCAAAAAGTACCAACCGAGGCGAGATACACTGCGCGAGGCGAGGTGGAAAGCTACGATTTCACTGGTCGCTTCAATAAAGCCAGTAAAACATGCTAGGTCACCGCGAAAGGACAAGAAAAAGTATCCCGCAGAGCGCGGTCGACCGTCAAGCGCGCCATTAAGCGCGCCGAGAGAGAGATGCGAGAAACGAGTTCCGGCGCGCGCGCACTGCACGGGGCAACCGAGCGCGCGTCTAGCAAGGCGTAATCGCTCCGTCAGACCATGTCCTACAGAAAATGTCTAAAATCTGCCCTGTGCCCATTGACCTTTGACCTGTGACCTCCAATTTCGGCACAGTGATGGCTTTTCCTACCATGATGCTATACACCGACTATCACGAGCCTAGGTCGAGCCGTTTAGATTTGTGCCGCAATTCTGCATTTCCTCCCTATACCTTAAGTTAAGGAGTGAATGTTCGCCCTTCTTTTACACCTCTTGACCTTTGACCTTTGACCTTTGACCCCCCAGCTTCGACATCCCAACTCGTTTTCGGATTACCCCCCCCCCCACGTCCCGAATATCGTGACCGTACGTCGAGCGGTTAAGATTTGTGCCCAACTGTTGACGGACGGACGGACGGACGCTCGGACGGACGGACGGACGATCATGCGATTCTACAAGCTGCATCTGACTATGTCAGATGAGCTAAAAATATAAACATAATACTAAACAACCTAAAATTACCTCGGGTACATATCTGTAGTACCTGATACGACAACGACCCTTTCTGCCTAACTATCCCCACATTAAAACTGGTGATGCCCCCTGCTGGTGACATTAGGCTCACCTTCAGCGCCTGGTCGAAATGTTTGTCTACAGTCTGCTGTCGTGTTGGGATTTGCCGTTTGAAGTGCTGTCTCAGCAGCGGCATGAAGTGTACCATCAGCTGCAGGCAGCTTGAAGCCAGGGCTGTGCATACACCAAATCACTGTCACAATACATTCTTCACCCTAGCACACTAACACCAAACCAGAGTTCCAACGTATCATTCACTCTTGCTCTCAAACGTCAAACCACCATCACAATATATCGTTCATGCTAACTTCCCATCACGAACCACCATGCCCACATAACGTTCACCGTAACCCACATTAATACCACCTATTCTTAAACAGTATATCATATACCCTTGCCCTGCATCAAAAACCATCGTGACAACATTGCACACCACCAAGGATCTCCGACTACCCTGCTAGCTGCTACCCTGCCAAATACTACCCTGCCACCCACTACCGTGCTACCCATCACCCTGCCATCTATTGCCTTGCTACACACTCCCCTGCTACCCCCTTGCTAGCCACTATTACCTTGCTACCTATTACCCTGCAACCTACCATCCTGCTACCTTTTGCTCTGCCACCTACCACCTACCACCCTGCTACCCATTACCCAGCCAGCTATTACCCTGCTACACACTACACTGTCACCTACTGTCAGCGACTACTGCACTCACCTAGGTTCTTCGTCGTGATTGTTTTCAGTCGGACCTGCTGGAGGGCGCCAGCGCCCAGCACCAGCTGGCAGGAGCGTGAGTTGAACAGCTTGAGCAGCTCGACGATGCGCGTCAGCAGGTCGGTGCCCACCGCCGGCATGTCGTCCACGCACTGCCCGTACTCCACCACCATCTTGAGCAGCATCAGCACCGTGCTGTCGCCGAGACGACGGTCGCCGTTAGCAACGAGCGCGATGCGGGGCAGGTGGGTGGGTGGATGGTTGGGGGACAATGAGCTAACGCGTAAAACACTAGCGATAATATCCAGCCAGCGAGTTTTATCTTAGGCCAAAACTAAATATAGGTGTGGTTACGGTTTCCCGACCGACCCTATTTATTCCCAGCGACCCTAAACATTTTATTCAGTTTTAAAAATTTAAAATTAAAAAATTAAAAAAATATAAAAATTTTACAATTTTCCCAGTTGCTACTTCAAAAGGCACAACGCACATCCTTTGGACATGGTTCGTAAATAAAATATTTCAAGAAAATAAAATGTTTTCCCTACATACCTACCCTATTTCTTTTTCGGCATGTAACGGTAACCACACATATATTTTGTTTTGGCCTTATTATAAACAAATGAAATTATTAACATCTTATTATTTTATCTATTGACATCTCAGGGAGAGAGATCAGTTGTTATACGCTATGTAGTGCAACGGATAAGCACATAAAAATGACCACATTATGCACTTTTTGTTAGAATTGTGAAACTCTGCACACACATACTACACGAGTGAGGATACACTCAGATAGGAGACGAGGTTAGTTATACTCCATGATGCTCACCCGACGACGGCGAATCTCTCCTTGCGCACAAACAGGTAGTCGACTGGCTTCTGAATCTCTGCGGTGTCCGGCCGAGACGGCAGGCTCACCTCACCTACGCATGTCACACAGCAATCAGTCATCAACCAAGCCATCAACGTGCCGACACATGAATCAAATAAAGTGATTATGTCATCGTAAATAGTAAAAGTAAAAAAACCATTTCCACTTTTTCACAAAATGTAAGTGATTCTGTTCACTTTTTAGGGTTAAATTGCTGCATTATACTTCCTATTTTGCTATGCTGTTCCATTTCGATGAACCAAATTAAGTGAAAACTACTTGGGTTTAAACTGAAATTTTAGGGCACCACAAACCAAAAACCACAAAGCAATTACTCACCACCTAGAACCACGAACCAAATTAAGTGAAAACTTTGAAGACAAGGAAAGTGTTGCCTTGGGTTTAAACTGAAATTTTAGGCCACCATGGCAAGTTGGCGGGCACCGAGGCAAATATTTCCTTCAAACGAGAAGCACCTAGGCACTTGCTTTTTATTAATGCCTAGCCTTTTGGCTGGGATATAGTTATCAAGGGCAAGCAATGAGAATGCAAAGTTTAGATGTGGATAAAAAGTGCATCGTCATGACTGCAATAACCATAATTTTATGCTTTATGCTTGCACTCGCTGGTAAAACCAAAAGTGTGGACAATGAATGCTCACCTGTCTCTTCCATGTGATCGACTAGTTCCTGAAACTCAGCGGGCACGTCCGCTTGTTTCCATCGCTCATTGTCTAGAATTAACCTAAAATAAACCGAGCAAATGCAGAGTTGCTGTAAGATCATAATGTTTAGTTGCTGAGTAACACAGTGACTGTTACTGATTGAGGTATTATCTATGAACTTTTATTATTATTAACTATATATAATTTAATTACATAATGATCTGATTTCATATTAATTAGTTCATGATTTCATGTTTTATAAATTTACTATTATTATTAAAAGTAAAACACTTCATACCACTGCATTATTGGTATATCAAATCTCATCTGACACATTTTTTTTAATTTCAACATTTATTTTTTAAATGATTTGAATATTTTGTATTTTTGAGGAAGTCTTCTAACATTCCTATTACTCACCCTAGTTTTTGTTTTCGCTCCTCATGGAATCGATTGACGAAGCGGTTTGCCTGGTAACATAATAACAGACACAGCATACCTGTCAATAAGCTACAGCAGTATGAAATGTATATACAGGTGTTTCTGAATAGTCTGTGACACATTGCACGATTCTTGGACCCTAAATAGCAGTTATTGCCACACAAGTGCCCCTCTAACTATGTTACCATCTCCTGACTCTATTATCCACCCACTCATCATTACTTAACTCTGTCATCCATTGTAATCACCATCACCTGGCTCTGTCACTATTGCCCAACTCTGACAACACCATCACCTGACCTCATAACAGGGCTAAAATTGAATGACAGCATCCAAAGCAAATGCCGTGGTTGCCCTATACAGTACTATATTGTATGATTCCTATGCACCATGTAGCATATATATATATCAGAAGTAGATAATAGGGAAGGAGTGTGACTTCAATAAACAAGGAAAATTCGTCATTTACTAGCCTTAGAATACCTACGATTTACTACGCGTAACTCAACCAACTTGAGCTCAAATCGTACACAGTACATTCGCCTAGCATCGTGCGAAATCGTTTCCTCGTATACACCCGCAATCCGGAGATACAGACTAAAACGTACGACACGATTATCCATTCTGTTGCCAGCAAACCGAATGTATAAACCGCCTAACTTGAAACAAAAGGCAGCTACTAACGACTCTTGTGCACTGTTGTGCCTTCGGCGATGCGGTGTGGCTCGCTAGTAGCTGCCTTTTGTTTCAAGTTAGGTGGTTTAGGCATTCGGTTTGCTGGCAACAGAATGGATAATCGTGTCGTACGTTTTAGTCTGTATCTCCGGATTGCGGGTGTATACGAGGAAACGATTTCGCACGATGCTAGGCGAATGTACTGTGTACGATTTGTGCTCAAGTTGGTTGAGTTACGCGTAGTAAATCGTAGGTATTCTAAAGCTAGTAAATGACGAATTTTCCTTGTTTATTGAAGTCACACTCCTTCCCTATTATCTACTTCTGATATATATCCTATTTCCTATTCCTATTTCCTATTG